ATGTCTCAAGCAAAGACATGTCTGAGTTCACGGATGCTAAAAGCACATACTTTTACAGTACGATTTTGCATCCCAGTCACCATTTAAAGCTGGATTAATGATGACTTTAAGTGAGCTTCAGAAGTGTCGTCCTTCTGCGTCGAACCCTCGGTAGAATACGAATTTCGGTGGCACTTGTGATCACCGCGGGAATGTCCCAGGACATTAACCATTTCCCCTATGAAATGGTCATGCCCTATTGGAACGCAAATGAAGCATCCAAGGTTTTTCTGGAGTACAAAAGTGTGGTTCGCATCTGACTGAAATTCAACTCAAGGGGCCTTTGCAGGCCAAAAGAGGCATCTTCTTTTTTTTTCCTGTTTCACATAGGTAGTTAAGTCGCCAGTTTGAAACCTTGGAATTCCGCCGTGGATGCATCAATTGGATTAGATCAGAACAATTCCATGGAAAATTCATGAAAAAACCGTAAAATGAATGACTCGTCACCATTCACTTCATGGAAATTTTCTGTGTCCACCATTTAAAGCTGGATTAATGATGACTTTAAGTGAGCTTCAGAAGCTTCTAGTGTCGTCCTTCTGCGTCGAACCCTCGGTGGAATGCGAATTTCGGTGGCACTTGTGATCACCGCGGGAATGTCCCAGGAAAGCATTCCGCAAATTCGTATTGAAACTGATGAAGCATCCAAAGTTTTTCTGGAATACAGATGTGTGGTTTTCACATCTGACTGAAATTCAACTCAAGGGGCCTTTGCAGGCCAAAGAGGCCTCTTCTTTTTTCCTGTTTCACATCGGTATTTGAGTCGCCAGTTTGAAACCTTGGAATTCTGCCGTGGATGCATCAATTGGATCAGATCAGAACAATTCCATGGAAAATTCATGAAAAGTCCGTAAAATCAGTGACTCGTCACCATTCACTTTATGGAAGTTTTCTGTGTCCATGTTGAACTTCGAATTTCGAACCTTTAGTTTCTATACATGTCAAATCTGAAAGAATGACGATGTTCTCCGGTGCCGCCATAGATCCAGTTTTCCGGAATTGTCCAGCCATCATCATTACTGGTGAATGCACAGGCGGCATGCAATGAGCTTTAGTCACTGAAACTCCAAAACCCGCTTCGGGACATCATGTGCCAATTTTTTCGACCTTGTTTCACCCCAAACGGCAGCGCAGCACTTCGCATTGCTCCTCGAGGAAGGGCCGAAGGCCATCTCTCGCCATGATCAAGCCAAGGAGTGCTGATAGAGGCATCCGTCTCAAGGTTCGAAGTAGAAAATGATCTACATTGGGAGCCGTCGTTGAACCGACTTTTGCTTCGAGCAGCAGAATGATATCGGGCGCTTCAATCTGAGCTACTTCAAGAGAACGACGAACATGTGGCAAAAGCACCGCCAGAAGTTCGCTTGTCTCCTCAAAAACTAAACAACAAAGCTGACAGGCTGGCTGATGGTTCTAGCCCATACTCAACAATAGTCAACAATACATCTGCAGCATCTACGATAGCCAAACATGGCTGGCTGGGAAATCCTTGAATTAATTAAATGCGCATTTGAATGGGAAAGTCAGCGAACTAAATGGGGGGCTAAGAATTGCCATGTTTATTGTATACACTTGGAGCAGCTTGGAGCAGTCCAAATAGGCAGATGCGATTCGACCAAGCATCCATGCGGTTCAACAGAAGCCGCTGGCGTTTGTCCGGGCTTACAGTGCGGTCATGCTCATAGTGACAAAAGCCACAAGCCTTCGATTTGCTTAAGGGCCCCAAAAAATGAAAAACAATCATTTGGGGATGGTTTATACCGTTGAAATACCAATGTTTCCAGCATATCTGCAGATGCACAAATCAAAAGTGTAACGTTTGCATCAGCAGTTGCACAAATCAGAAGTGTAACATTTGCATCAGCAGTTGCACAAAGAAGTGTGACATTTGCATCAGCAGTTGCACAAATCAGAAGCGTAAGATTTGCATCGGCAGTTGCACAAGAAGTTTAACCTTTTCACTGTGGGCATTGAATATACAGCCATTTTTGTGCGCAAGGGAAAACTGCAGGTGTGGCTTTTGCATTTGGAGTTCTGCGGGTTATGAGCCCAACTCCCCATGTCGCATAGCTCATCAGTGTCGACCACTAGAGAGGTATCTAGCCATGGAGGTATAGATGATAGGAGAACACCAGGAGAGCCCATCTCATATGGTCCAGGGGGCCCTCAGAATGCCAATCCTTTCTGGAGTGACAGGGTCAGGGAAGACATGGCGCTTCGAGCCCTTCGACCAGCCTTTTTGCCACCAACGTCTGATTCTGAAGAACTACCACCACAGGTTGAGAGGCCATATAGGGCATCCTATGTGGCTGGTGGCCGTATAGGACCCCCCTTGCTATCCTACATCAGTGCACCATGCCAGTGGCATTCTTGGTATGACATAGGTTTTCCTTTGAAAAATGCTGCAACAGTGCCTGCAGCATAGCATCAATGATGTGACTGCTGACATCAATGCTCCAAGCCAGTAGCATCATATACCAAGACAGAGGTCATGCCTTAAAAAAATGCGACAATCAGCACAAGACTGGTTGCAACATAGCGTCACTGAGACTTGCCTCATCTCGAGCCAAGTTTGCGCCTAGAGAGAAAAAAAAACATATAAATATATATATATATATAGATATCTCTATCTGTATAGGTTCTAGTTTAACATATCAATAAAACCTTACATAGCTAATCCCCCAACATGCACACCCCTTGGAAACCCTTCAGCATCCAGTGTTTTTCCTCAGACAATTCCGCTCCACCGTAAGCAAACAGCAACACAGTAGTGTTGCAAACTTCTCTGGCTGAAAACTAATGGGTGAAGTCCGCTGCAAATAGCTTTTACCTGGGGCTACATGCAAGGGTGTTGAAAAAACATATCACCAAAATGTTGATAACAAGGGTTCCTATTTCTCATATGTTCCCCATGTAAAACAGAAAAATGTTGATAAACCAGGAGGGCCACACGACGAATGAGATCTTCATCAAGCATGCACTGGTAAAAACGTGCATTTCCTCTGTTAGGCACATAGTCAAGTATCCTTAGGCGATTGCATGTTCCGTGTAGTCAAAACACAAGAATGTTTTCTAGTGAACATTGGGTGGAACAAATCTAACAAACAAATGAACTACTTTTTTCCCAAGTATCGTGTGTTCAAAACTGTGCATCTTTGGGCGGACAGGATATCGTAATTTCCCTGCATGCAGTGCGCGCAGTGCCAAGCCTGAATGTTTTTTAAGGTCACAAATAGCAAAGAAAATGGGTTTGACAACATTCCAAAAAAAATACTTTGGTCCTAGCAACTGTTGTAACAGTCTCGGTATCGTAGGTACGCCTGTTCAATTTTCCAATTTTGTTCTGGAGGAAGTAGACCAGGACCATGCTCAGCAAAAACAGTTGCGATCAAATTGAACGCCGCAAAAACTTGTTTGATCCACCTCCAGGTTTAGGAGATGATGGTTGAGATCTATCTGATTCGAGAACGCACCCTGAATTTTTCCAAATCACATGTGAACCCAAAAATCCAATTTGTTTCAAGTTGAATAAAATATCAACCCAAATTCCCCACATTAGATTTGGGATTGATTATGGTAAATTTGAAAAACAATTTGGTATACCAAGCCTGTGTGCATCTGAAGGGTGGTCATGATTGATCTCGGTCGCTACTAGCAAGCAGAAAGGTATCATCATGCGACTAGCAGCGCCATTCAATTTTTTCTGGCCAACTGCAGGGTATTTTGTGGCTTTACTTTGAAGGGATTGCACTTGAAAAAGTACTGCTTTAGCCCGGCATCCGTTTGGAATTCCTGGGATACATGAGATGGAGAGGTCCAAAAACTAAAACAACATCATTTATTTGGGGCCCCATACTGTTTGGATTTCTATTTCACAGAAAATTGGTTGCCAACAATCCCAAAAAATAAGCTTCTATTTTCGCGGCACCACTCGCGGTACCAAGCAAACAGCTTCAGAAGCCTGTCATCGCGCGAACGGCCTTCAAAAATTCCAGGCTCACTCCATTCGAGAAAAGTAGATGCAATCATGTCTGTGTAGAGGGCTAGGTCCAAGATGTGGAGTAGATCTGGATAAATTCCTTGAATGCCAAACATAAACAAGTTTCAAAATATTGCCACAAAATCCTGAATGGTACTACGTTTTTTTTGTGGAAAAATAAATTCATAGAAAGGTTCTCCATGGAGAAAACCCCGCAATTTGTGTGATCGGAGAAGCACCGTTCACCTCAATGAACTCAGCCGTCGTCACCAGCCTGAGGCGCATAGCAGATGCCGATAAGGGACACACACATGTAATATATATATATATATATATATATATATATATGTGTGTGTGTGCACATGTAAGACCATACATATATATATATATATATTGGTAATATTTGTATTCGTACATCTTACACACACACATATGCATACATACATACATCCATTCATCCATCCATCCATGCAAACATATATCCATAGATATATCCGTGCAGATATCCATACATCCATCCATACATCTATCCATCCATACACACACACTATACATCACAACATCAAAAAAAACAGAAACTCTCACATAGTTGTGGGTTGTTGCTCCCAGAACCTGCCATGGGTGACTAAGCGATGGCTACTTGCTGCAAAATTGCTGGGATCTATACTCCGCATCTCGGCCCCAGTTCGTGTATAACAAAGGGGATTGGTCAGCATGAGCTTCATCATCAACAGATGCCAGGGCTTTGCACAAGTAACAACATTCTTTATGTCTGTAGGATCCTTACTGACTTCAGAAAGGCCAGGGGAAAATGTTGGAAGTAAATTAAAAAAAAACAGGTGGCATCAAAACAATCAAAACAAAACACAGACCAAATCGAACTATTCGAGCAAGGGTCGTTTGAGGGTAAACAAGGCAGCCACAAAATCAGCATCCCCTTGCAAACCGTCCAGTACATAGGTGTATGGGCCAGATAGTGGGGTACCTGCTCGCCTCCACCTGTCTGGGTAATATTCCGCTGAGAATGGCCTGGCCCAAGGATCTTGATGCGGATGCTTTCCCACACCTGGACAGATCAGCTGCGGCCGTGGTCAGATGAATCTTGGGATGAATTTCATGGAGATCCCAGGTGAAAAATGTTTATGGAACAAATGAAAAATCTTTGGTAATATATGGCTCTAGTATCGAAGTGCTTCAAAGCTCCATGCAAGTACTTGCATCACTCGGCGACGACAGTCCACTGTTGTTTTATCACAATTGCGCACTGCGCAGAGTAGGCGGCTATCTAGGGTTGAAGATGAGCAACTCAAAATTGGCAATATGGTGTAGATCTCAAAGTGCTGTTGAGCGTCAGCTCCGTCTCCGTACAATCTAAGAGGAATAGTTGTGGAGATATCCTAAGGACGATTGGGAAGAATCTTCAACCAATGGGAATTAAAAAACATAACGCTGTACAAGTACATGCTTATATGTATTCATGTTCTTTGGGGAAAGGAATTCAAAAAAAGTTCATCATCTAATCAATTGCCATGTTTCAAGATCAGGCATCTTGAGCGATGAGTAAAGATCCCAATTTTCCATCCAGTACTGGTCCAAACGACCAGGCTCCCCAACGAACAACGGGAAAAAATTTCAGGGTACTCGTACAAACATGCCACAATGTCATGCGGCGCCATAACACTCTGTTTGCAAAACGGGTTGCTTCCAAGTAAGCGCTGCTGCTCCGTCAGTTGTACCTTGGAGAGCCGATAGGATCTATGGGCCAGTCACCAAATATATCCAAATACGGTTTTGTTTTCAGAGGGTCTATCAAAGATGAAAAACTAATGAATTGCAGATAAAGCGCTTCAACATCGAACCTTACTTTCAAACAAGGTCCAAACATTAGGAAATCCCCCAAAATGAAAAACAGTTGGCCCACATTCCACAACTGATTACTCATAGTGGACAAGAAGCTCAAAGAATGTCAAAGGTAAACGCTTTCGCCAGGGCTGTTGGCAAACCCAACGGTCAAACGTTCGCTCCAATCCCCATCCACCACCGCATTCGAATCTTTCGTAGAGAGTCAAGATAGGTTTCCTGATGTTGGGATTCAGATTGTCTAAAAAATAATAATCTTCTTATTCTGGTGAGTTTTGATTTTTTGAAACAAATCCACCAACAAGTGACCCCAATAAAGCCCAGCGTCGGCACCAAGGAGTGATTCAACTTGCAGATCTTCGAGGTCAGTTCAGCAATTGCTTTGCAACTTGCCTGGCAAAGCGGGGACGGTCAAAAAGGTAAGGGATTCCACGACCTTAAGGACCATTTGGGAAAAACAACAGCGCTATCGATTTGTATTTCTCTTCATTTAAATTTACATATATACATATATAATCATACATACCTACAAAAAATCATATCTGCTTAGGTATACATTTGTCTGCATATACATTTATAATCATTTATATATTTATGTATACATATATATATATATACATCTGGTTCTGACGAGCCAGGTCACATGACCCTCAGACATCTTTTTGAAGAGGTCGTTGACCAGATCGTCAACGACTTTTCTCTGGGCAGATAAAGCGCGCCTGCCAGGGCACATTTGATAGCCTAATTCATGGGGTGTCATGCAAGAAGACTTAGGCTCTTGTAGGACTGCACGCCTGGGTGATCCTTTTTTTCACTAGCATCGATCTGCCAATTTGATTGTCAGTGAACCCATGCCCCATCAATCAGGCCAACCCATGTTTTCACAGGTGCCTAAAGATAAACCCCTTAGGTACACGCTTCGATGTACATCGAAAATGCCCAAGCTATAGGCAGGCCTAAACGTGTCACAACACGTATGCACATGCCCGTTCATGACTTTTTTAAGTCGTCAGTTCTCTGGAAGAACCCATCACGACTACTTATCTTCATCCCACTCATCCTCACCATCCTCCCAGGGCTGCTCACCCTCCCAAGGCTGCTGCTCCTGACAGGGCTCCTCTTCAGGATCGTCCCCATCCCCCGGCCACTCTTCCTCATCCTCCTCATCCTCCTCATCCTCCTCATCCTCTAAGGCTTCAGCAGCCTTGGCTGCTGCAGCTTCGGCCTCCTTTTTTGCCTTTCTTGCTTTGCTCTTGACGCCTTGGGGATCCAGGGATATAGAAAAACTTGCAAAAAACTTGAGACGGGAATGGAAATCAACTGCCATTAATTTTATGTAAATATATATATATATTGTATAATTTCTTTATTTTCATATATGTGTGAGTTTTTAAAATACAGTCTCTAGATGTGTGTATATCGGAATAAATGGAAACAAGTTTGTCCTTTACAACGCTAATATGTCACACCAGCACCCGGCTTTTGATCCAAGAAACGGTTCTTCCAGCTCTTCACAGTTCCCGAGGCGTTTTCAATGTCTTCGATCGCCGACTGCCAGCAACGGTCATAGCTGGAGGATTTTTGTCACTGGGCAATAAATTGGCAAAGAATGGGAGGCTTGAAATGGACAGCGAACATATGAAGAACCCCAACATAGCCTTGATTTTCGTGTCCTTTTTTTCCTTCATGGCCATGATGTCAGAAACGGAAACCTTCTTGAAGGAAGCGTCTTCCATCCTGAAGCAGGGTTCCCCAAAAGTGGCAATCCAAGATCATATTACCAGTGAGAAAATGAATATACAAACGAAGTGTTTATCATTGGTTGTTTTCCATTGTTTGTTTTTGAATCAGAGTCGCTTCTCAGCAAGGGCCCGAAAGAACTTGTGATGGGTCTGCAAGCATTCCGCCATGGCCTCCCAAATTGTTGACACATGGTGATATATATATATATATATAGGATTGCATGGGCATACTGAAATCCTCAAAAATGTGATATCAATACATCAGGTAAGATTGGCCTCTTGGTGTGGGATTCCCAAAGTCGTCAGATCCAGTGCCAGTTCACAGGCTTTCTGCGCTTTGTCCCGAAGCCTTAGGTTGAAAGGATATTGGATATTATCGCAGGGTTGATCACCAATATCAACATGTTTGGAACTGAAACTTTAACGAAAGGAGCTATCAGCTATACACAGACGAGAAACGCTTTGATGTCTTTCTGCAGTTGCTTTGCTTCTGACTGACCTGTTGCCTTCTGTTTGTTCTGATTGCGGTTGGCACCCCTGTTCCCATTTGAACTGGAGTTTTTGGCTTTGGACTCATCCTTACGCAAATCAGCCACCTGACCATCCAAGGCTTCTCCCAGAGCCTTTCGAGAAGCAGTTGAAGACACTGTGCCTCCAGCTGAAACGCGGGTACCGGCTCTGGTCACATCAGCACCTTGGGGGGATCGCAAAGGGCAGTTGAACTATAATTTTGGGGCTGACATTGTCAATGTATGGACACTGAAACTTCAACCAATAGCTCAAGATACTTGTGCTCTTGTGCTTCTTGTAGACCTTGTAGATCTTGAAACGCTCGTCATCGGGAAACTTAGTGGGGGAACCAGACATATATTGGAACATTACATCAACAGATAAATGAATGGTCAGCTTCGGCTATTCTCAGGTCTGAGTTGGAGTCTTGTGCATGTTTCTCCCCTGTCTGGCCTCAAAACAAATACGGCTGGACACCAAAGTTTGGGAAAACTCATTGGGCTTTCAAATGAATTGGGTAGCAGGCTGGCTTTGATTCGTTCGATAAATGCCCTTGGCTGAATGACTACAGGTTTGTAACAAGAATACAAGAACATAAATTTCTCTCCAAACATGATATTGGTGATATTATTCCCAGATAAGATTCTTCCCAGCTTCAGTTTTTCCATACTTCTCCTCAATCTCAAAGAGCGGCAACTTCTCATATATGTCTTCATCCTTCTTCTCGGATTCCCTTAGATCATGGGCAGCTAGTTGAACATTTCGGGAAACTGCGGGGTTACTTTGCAGGGCCTAAATATCTGCATTGTAAGATCAAAAATAAGGGCTTCACTTGACAAAGTAAGCCTCCACCACGGCCTCAGACCTTGGATTCCGAAAATATTATGAGTATAAATCATCCATATATAACCTTTCCTCCATTGGTGTCAGTGTGAAACCAAACATCCATGTAAATCACCTCAGTATCCAACAAGTTCTCATCAATGAGAAATTCCTTTAAGAGCTGGAAGCGCTCTTTGCTGTTGCCCAGGCATGCTGTATATTTCTGGACCAAGCCTGGCTTAAGCCCTGAATGTTTCATCCTGCGGCCCAGCTGGTTGTATAAAGCTCGACGTTCCCCGATTGGAACATCAGCCTGTGACATCTCACGAATCTTCGCCTTCGTTTCTTCAGTCATCGGGGACACCTTAGGTAGCATAGAATCCCCAATATATTCCCTAAATTTGTGATGTTGCACACAAGATTGATGGACTTGGGAAGGTGTCGGGATTGCATATCCAAGGTGCCCGAAGGACACGGCCACCTTCTCCTGTTCTGACAAGCTTTGTCGCCTCTACAGAACACACCAGGTGCCTGGGCCTATATACTGTCGACAAGGGAATGGAAAACAAAGGTGGTAATAGAAAATGCATTGAACATACGCCCATGTACCTCGACTGGAGATCCTTCCCCAGCCTCATCAGAAGATATCAGAAGTAGCAAGAAATCATGCATTCAATGATGGAATACACCACCTTGTTCAAACCGAGTGACACTGACAGTGGAGAATGACCTGGCCAGCCTCAGTCCCAAGAAACATTTTTTGAAAACCAGGGGTTTATAAAAAAGCGTTTGCATTTAATTTTCTTTTACTGTGACATGTGAAAGTTAATCCAAGAAACGACTTGGCACTTGGTTCTGTTCCAGTGGTGGAGGTTGACGGGGACTTATTCTGACTGTTCTTCCTTGGGGGTGTAACATAAGCATCATCCAAACTCTCCATACTGGTCTTGCTCCTCAGCCGAATGGTGGCCAAAGACTGCCCTGGCGGAGGCACTGAGCCGACCATCTTCTTATCCTGCAGAGCTGAGCAATCAGTTCAGGAGAGAGTTTGGGTTGACACCGATGGGAGTGCAGTACCTTTGTAAGATATGTTTGATAGGTATGGTATGGTATATAAATATAGTTATATATTTGTATATTTATCGTTATTGAACGTGAATATATTTAGTGAATATGTGTTTTTTTATTATTATATATGTTACTAACATCTTATGTTTGATATTCATATGAACTTTATGTCTATGTCTTGATTGAAAAAGATATGTGCATATATCACCCTGCTTCCCTTGCCTTGGGTTTCTTTGAAACCTCATCTGTTGCTGCTGTGCTCTCAGTTGATGGGCTTTCTTGGTCACTCTTCTTCTTCTTCTTCTTGTGGACAGTCTGTGTCGTGTCCTCTTCTTCTTCAACTGCCTTTGGCTTCTTGTTCTTCTTGCTGCTTGCCTCTGCCTGGTCAGTCTCTTGTTCTGGGATTTCTTCTGTTGCCTTCTTGATCCTCTTAAAAGCCCGTTTCTCTTCAGAAGCCACTTCTCCTTCTGCCTTCTTGCTCTTCTTGGTCGGTTTCTCAGGTTGCTCTGCAGAATCCTCCTCTTCTTGTGGTGCCTTCTTGCTCTTCTTAGTCTGGCTCTCGGCAGAAGCCTCTCCTTCTGCTGCCTTCTTGCTCTTCTTGCTCTGCTTCTCTGCAGAATTCGAAGCCTCTTCTGCTGCCTTCTTGCTCTTCTTGCTGTGCTTCTCTGCAGAATTCGAAGCCTCTTCTGCTGCCTTGCTCTTCTTAGTCGGTTTGTCTACTGGAGATTCTGGAGACTCTTGGTTCTCTAAGGCTTCCTTGCTCTTCTTCTTCTGACTTCGCTTCAGCAGTGCTGGTTCGGCTTCCTGGTCACATAAAGCTAGTTGCTCCTTCTTGCCTTTACCCTTGGCTTTCGCCAAGACAAGCGCTTGCAATGCTTTGCCTTTGCCTTATGATCAGCAACACTGGAAGGAATGAAGGGCTAAATACGGCCCAGAATGATTGAGGTATGTCTATATCTGTATATATATATATTTAACATAATATGTATATATATATATGATATATGTGCAAGCCATGTGCGTAGGGTGGCACCAAGACAGCAGTTTAATTTGTCAAAGGTACCTTTCGGCGTAGCTTTACCTTTCCCTCGGTCCTTAGATGCAGATGGCAGATTGACTGCAAAGTATATTGCACCTTAATATAACACCGGTTGGTTGAAGTTTTCACTGATCTTTGGTGTGTAAACTTGGTTTTTAACTGCCAAAGTACTGCCATGGGACAAAACAGCTACACGAGCAGTCCCAACTGAGCCAAAACAGCTCTAAAAGAAGGAAGGGCATGTGAGATTTTTGGTGACACGGCTTGACACGGTTTGACACGGCCTGAGGGCGCTCTATGTTTCCCCTGACACGCTTTGACACGGGTTGACACGGGGTGTCACTGTTATCATTTTTTGTGATTTTTGGTAAATTTTGGTGATGTATAGCTAGAAGAATGTGAAGTAACCTGAGAAAAGCGTGTCAACCCGTGTCAGAACGTGTCATATCCATATTTCCAATAAGTTTCTAGGCCGTGTCAACCTGTGTCAGATCGTGTCATATATCCATGCTTCCAATAAGTTTCTAAGCCGTGTCAAACCGTGTCAGATCGTGTCATGCTGCAGGCCATGTCAGGTCGTGTCAGGTCGTGTCAAGTCGCGTCACATTCAGCCCACTTAAGTTCAATGAAAGCTGAATCAGGATAAACCCTGTTGGTTTTAATATATCCCCTTGGGGAATATAGCCCCCCAGCACCTGGCAGCCCATCAAATTCTCCCGCCTTGCTGATTTTGCAGGAGGTGCAGCTACCTCGCTTTCACTGCTCGACATGATCCCTGGCAGAAGAGAATGAATCAGAAAGGGACTCCCCTTTGAAAGCGGGAAAAGGTTTGGATCTATAATATCTCTAAATAAGATCTATCTATCTATTTATTTATATTTATATTTATATCTATATATATATAGTATATATATATATGGACATGTCTAAAATGAGGTGTCCGTTCTTGCTTCCAAAATGGCTACTTAAGGGGAAAAAACGGACACCATATAGGCAGGTCTCAAAATGAGGTGCCATGTTCCATTCTTGAGAGTAACATTTTGGGGACCCAAAAGTGCACCTTATATGTACCTACTGAAAGACACCATGGGATTGTTTATTTTAGATATACCCGTTTGATGTTTTCTGGGCTAGAAATTTTGGAGCCAAAGAACCACCACAGAACCTCAATGCAACATTTCCCCTCAAAGCACCACATCGATCCATATTGGTCGATCCTGTGGTAAAGTTCCAATTTGTCCCATTCGAATTGGCAGCAACGCCGGATCCCAAATATACACCACATTGGAACCATTTGGAACCTCCATATTTTTGAGATGTTCACAGTATTTCAAAGTAAAGGATCCCTGGAACGAATTGTTTAATCGTTCGCGTTGCTTTCCTCTCTATCCCAAAGGTCACCCAGTTCGCTGTCTGATGACAATGGGTCTACATCCTTGAAAGTCAAATTGTGATCGCTCAGGACCCGCTCTGGTTCACGCTGCTCTGCCAAATGGTCTGCCAGAAGCTCTGTTACCTGTGGCTCTTTGGAATCTCGCTTGAACTCCGGAATGGCTTGGGGTCAGACATAATAAGACATATACTGGGCATTCTATGATCAAACCGTTTTAGAATTACACACTTGTACCCCGAAAGATACTGAAGTAGATATATAGCATGGGGGGCAGAAACAGGTCATCTCTTAGCGAAGTGGCTTTCAGTGAGAACTGCCATGGGTAGACTTGTGAGGAAGTCAGTGATCGGGCGCCTGCCTAAGAGCCAGTGAAACATATTTCAGTCAATTGACACCTGGAAGTTGGATCCTCTAAACAACAGCATAGCTCAAACTTGAAAGCGAAATTAAGGACAAATAGAAAAAAGTTTATATTTTAAAGGCTTCATGATTGCTGTTCACTGCTCCCCCAACAAATATAGTAAGCCCCAGGCCACCCTCGATCGCCCCTTAGCATCTTTGTACTTCTTGACCATCTGAATAGATTTCATTTCTTGTAGGCGATGGAGCTGTTCCCTAGCGCAACATGGGGTGCAATGTTTAGATTCATGAATCCCATTGTAACATACCGGCAATGAACATATGGGGCCTCCTTTCAACTGTCATCCTCGGGATTGGCAGCTTCTCCAACCAAGGGGCATTCGAAATCAAAAGCGTTGGCTTCCTTGGGCAATGTCTGGATTCTGGAAGCTTAAGGAGGTGGTCTTTGAGATTCTCGGCATGAATGGTGCTATGGATGCAGCTATGATTCTGTGTGTTACCACCCAGCATCCCAAGGGGAAGGTTGTAAAAAAGGGCTCCGTGGCGTCGCAGCAAGTCCTACATTCTTTAATGGACTGAAGATACCTAATTACAGTTGAACAACATAATTATAAGACCTGCTTTGTAAACATATTGATTCAACTCGCTCCTGTAGTGGGCCATACAACGGCAAGAGCGATGACGAGGGTTGCTCAATTATGAAACTCACATTCTTGGCTTTTGCGTATTCCAACCTGAGATGCTCCCGTAGTAGTAACTAACAGTCAAGGAATTTTCCCTTGAATTGGGGTTCAAAAAAATTAAAGCTTCCAATGGGGGGTCACAAGCCACTAACCAACCCTATTGTTGTTTTGGAACTCCCCATTCAAATATGCTTAGATCAAGAATTACTTTGTTGCTTTTATTTCGTCCCATGGCTTTCTTTGGAAAACGGGTTTGGTCATGAAATCTACCAGGCAACATGTAACACACGCGCCTAACCAAACGGTTGGCCATGCGCACCTTTCTGAGTTTTTTACAGCCACGTGGGCGTAACCGGCATCTTCGTGTGGTGCCACGAGACAGCCATATATAAGAGCAACATGGTAGTCCAAGCCATATGAGGCCCCCCATAACAACTCTTCTCAAAGCTTGGAAAGCGGTGAGGAAACCCATCCCAGAATGCAAATCCATATGCCGAGAGTAAGACACCTTGGATTCCATGACATGGGGATTGTCTAAGCACCAAAAGCACAATATCTTCTGTGAAAATTTATTTTGAATGCAGAAAAATACTTGTTTCAAACAATCCACATATATGCAGAAAAAGCACATCCATTGCCAATGCATTCAACCCATGTTCGATGGCACAGTCGCTGATGCGGTGCGACCCTGCACAAAGCTCCAGAAGGTGAAGGTGTTGACCTTCTGGAGTCTCCCCAAAACCTGAGGCTTAAAAGCTTGTTTCCTTTGGGGAACCTTTAGTTTAAAGAGTGCGCCAATAAGATTGAAACCTTCTCTGTTGTATTCCACATCCAAATTTAAATCTGTGTTTCAAAAACTATTTCCCACTTTTGATGAAAGCAAACTAATCATAGTCGATCATAGGTACATAATGGTACATACATGTATAAGCCACCTTTTTTGCAAAATCACCAAATAATTTCAGATATGTAGCTGACAAGAAGGCCAGATACCAGGCAGGCGAGAACAGAATATTTCATGGCCCCAGCAGCTGTGAATGCTTTGGCAACTGAGGATGGTATGAACTTGATCAGGACAGCTGGGTCGATCGGGCAATGGGCAAGCCGACTGCGCTCAAATCCAGTTGATATATATTTCATAAACCCAACTTGTAATTCAAACAAGGAAACAGTCAAAACCCAACTAAAATAATCAGTGTTCATGAATACCTCAATTTGACTGAAGATACATTTAATGGGTTCGTTCACAAAGCTAGGGAAATGAATCAGGAACATCCCAACACAATCACAACAGATTGGTCCATTGTTCATGTAGAGCTCAATATGTGTGTTTGCCCCCGACCCCAGTGTTCAGAATTTCTTTCTTCGTGCTGGTCGTGTTCGATCTGCCATATATATGCCCCTTCAACATTATTGAATGGCAACCCCAGCTGCACCTCAAATGGGCAAACAGCTATTAAATGTTTCAGAGGTGTGCGGAAACGCACAGCATGTGCCAGGCATTCTGAGCCATGGCAAGTAAAGCTGTTCAACGTGTTTCAGTTGAAGTGCCCCACAAAATGGGAAGCCCGAGCATCTAAAGTTTTGCATGTCATGTGGCGAAATCAGTAGCCAACAGCATTCCATGTTCTATCCAAGAGATATTTTTCAAGGCACCCAGGGTTCTGAACCACAGTGACATGAACACAAAGAGCCAACTATTTAGATGTATCGCCTACGTTTCTGTTCACTCTCAGGAAGTCCTGCCACAATCTCCTTGCGCTCCTTGCTCTCCTTCCACAGGATCTCAATCTGCTTTGCTCGAATCTTGGGATCATCTTCGCGGCACCTGGGATGCAAGCATGCAGGCCTGAAGGGTGGATCACAAATGTGGTGGTCAAATTCAGTCAGTTTTAAACTATAAATAGGGAAAGACATCCAATTTGAGTTTGAATTTAGGAAAGCTACTTGGCTGTGAACGCTTTCTTGGCTTCCCCGTATGGCGTAACACTCCTGGTCTTGGTCGTTTTATCCTTTGACTGTCCTGCCGGCTGTTTCTTGCTCTCCTTGGTCTTGGGTTTTGCGGCACTTTTGGCTCGCCCCTTGGGGGCAGATTTGACCTTGGTCTTGCCTTTGCGAGTGTCTCCCTTGACAGAATCCTTGGCTGGGAGGCTGCAGGTTCAGGTCCCTATTGATATCCCCCAAGGTATTCAATTGCAGTGTGGGTTTATACCTTGCAGTATGACAAACAAAAGAATAACACTGATTCTAAACGATTTTGAGTTTCTTTCTTCGTCTCTTTCTTAGACTTAGAAGCAGCTTCTGCACGCTTTGCAGCAGCCAACTGAATTTTGGCATAGGGTGTAACAACTTCGGCTTTCTTAGAACTGGCTGGCTTGGGAACTTCGCCATCCGAAGGTTCATCATGGTCAGTTTCCTGCCAGTGACACATGTATAGATACAATTAGATACGCATATGTATACAACCATGTATGGATATACATGGTGCTGTGGCTAAACATATTGTGATCTTTATGTGTACATCATTGAAGTGCAACAATACGGAAATATGCATGTTTAAAATGCAGAAACATACTGAAGTAACTAAAGTGCAACAATGCAAATATATGTATATGTCAAATATATATATATATATACATGGAAAAATATATATGTAGGATGCAGACTGAAACCACTGGCCTGGGTGTGGCTGGGCTCTGCAATGTCGGAACCCCACCTTCGTTTGGGATCTACTCCATTGATTTACTGTCAAACGAAGGGTTTTTTCTCATTCATTTTTCGCCACCACAAAGTGTGAGACCATTGC